ACAGCTGGCTGGTTCCAAAGGAGGGTGGCTTGGCAGAGGGGCATGGCAGAGGAAAAATGGTTCATGCAAAAGCAACAAAGTAGAAAAAGAGACAAGCCTCTGTCTCGCCCTTACATTGTATCCAGCCTACCGGGATTAGAGCAGTATCAATCTAATCAGTGGGCTGATCCAGCAATCACTCACCCTTAATCCCAGCACCCTTAATTCCAGCATTGCACCACCGATCAACCAGACACTCCAGATTCAGCCACCCCCAAAAAAGCCCTGCAACCACAGGACTGCATGAGGCTTGAGGGGGTATATCTAGACACAGACTATAATACCAACTATACATGGTAACAGTAACAACCCTGATGACAACCCCTACCTCACAGAGTGTTATGGGGATTAAATGAGATAATGCACGTGGGGTGGACTGTACCAGACATTACAAGTCTTGAGCAATAGCTGTGGTCATTGTTGTCATTGCTACTGTCATCACCATTACCACCCCTCCACCGAGGTGGATGTGTTTCCCAGGGATGCTCCTGGCATGATCTCTGGAATGTTCCCACAGCGCAAGAATTCTCACGGAACTGAAGAAGCCACTTCCTTGCAGAGTGCTTACTGTGGTTAGGAACTCTGCAAACTTGCAGAGATGACAAGTTTGGAGGTTCCTTGTTCTGTCCACCCTCTGTGAGGGTGCCAGCCTTTCATCTGCTCTTCCTCACTTCCATATCCCATCCCTGGCTCCGTCAGGTCCCCTGGGCACCCCACATGGTACCCAATTCTGCTGACTTCACCCCTTTCTTCACCAGATCAGTACCCGGAAGCTGAGGGCACGGGTGACTAAATATGGAAACGTCGGGCTCCTCCACAGGCAGAGTATTCGTAATCACCAAGGCCGTGACTCCTTCCCTGGAGGAGACTCACCAGTTTCCTGACTTGGCACCCTGAAATCTAGATGTTGCTCCCTTTGACTTTTTAATGTGATTTCAACACAAGCCAGTTTTGACCCAGAAAAACAGCATGTCGTTTCATTCATGTTTACATATTAACCAGAAGCCTCTGACCTCCTACAATTTTTTGAAAATTCTAGAACCTTAACTCTTCTTTATCAAAGACACTTTTGAAGTCTTTTTTTTTTTTAAATAGACTTTACATTTTGGAGTTTTTGATTCACACAGAAGCAGAAGGTGGAGATCCCACAGTCCCTCTGCCCCCAGCACAGCCACACTACCAGCATCACACCTAGTAATTCTTAAAATCATTTTCTCTAGTAAAATCAGCTCTGTAATTATGCAGAATCTTTCTTCTCACAAAGACATGGAATGACTTGTTTTGTGTGCATAATCACTTCAAGAAAAAAATTATGTAAACTATTTTTGATGTAATAATAATTCAACACAGCTGCATTTTTGCCTCCTTGGAGCCTACTTTTTCTCCAAAGAAATAAACTTTTTACACTTGTAGACTTTGCAGGGGTGGTGCGCTGTTATTGTTATTGTTTGCTTTCCAAATGTGTTGCTCAGGGACTTACCCTTCCCTCCTGCCTCACCACGACACAGGCCCCCCCCACGTTCTATCCCCTTTGTCAGGCTCCACAAGTTCTTCTCTTTCTCTTAGGGTTATTATTAGAACTACTAATGGCACCTTATCTCCAACAGACAGCTATTCAGCACCCACGACTCCCACAGAGACGGCGGCAAATACTCTGCCTGTGTTTTCCATCAGAGCCCGATGTTTCCATATTTAGTCACCCATGCCATGAGCTTCCCTGTACTTCTCAAGGGTAGGTTTTTATTTTCCCAGTGACTGACCCAAAGCATTTTTCTTCCAAATGTCCAGCGCCAAACTGGGTGCAAGATATGTATTCTAGTTCAGACCCAGTTGCTTTCAGCTGCCTTATAGTCAGTGAAGAACTCAAAGCCCTTTGTGATCATAACATAGCAAAGCCCCAAACTGACCTAGGAGGGAGGCAAAGACGTGACACCCAAAATGACCCAGCCCGGCACTTCGATTATTTCAAGGTGAGAGTACCATCAGCAGTGTGGGTCCTTGCTTCAGTGACGATGGAAATCAAAACTGAGGCTCTGTACAACTTCCCAGCGGAAAGACCTCCAGTTAAAAAGTGAAAGTAAAGAGGAGCACAGCTCTGACAAAGATGAAGCTGGTCCTCTAGTGAAAGGAAGGGAAGACAGGGAGAGGGCTTCAGTCAGAGAACATGAAGGAGACTTGGGTCTGAAGAAGTGGATCAGATTGAGCCATTCACAAAAGCATGGAGACCAGTTTTATGGGGTGCTACGGTCAGCTGGGGGCTGGCTGACCAGCATCTCGGTGCTGCTCTGCTAGCTCTGGAGGGACCCTTGTGACTTTGCTGGGGCAGTCTCAAGCTGGTGAGGCCCCGCTGGGATCCAAGGTAACCCCAGCTCACGGTGGAGGGACTTCTGGTGTGGCTGAATGGCCCGTAAATCTCTTCTCTCAGTGTCCTCAGTCTTGAAGGGCCTACGACTAATAAATCTTGCTTTGCCAACTTTTCCTAAATGATTAACAAACCCACCTCCAAAGTTTTAAGGTAATAAAAGACACAAAATGAAGCTCAATCTTGGTTTTACTTTTAATTACCTACTGGACATCTCTAAGAACTGAAGAGTCACAGTTTTTAGCAAAACTGGCAAGTGTAGTATAAATAGGTAACGGTCGGCACTGAGCCTAGAAAAGGAACGAGGTGCCGACAGACGCGAGGACACGCAGGAGCACCGGAATGCGGGGCAGGGAGAAGGAAGCCGTCGTAAGAGGCCAAACACACTATGATTCCACCCAGACGAACGATAAACCTAGAGAATCCGACTCAGGGAGACACGAAGAAGAAGTGGTCGCCCAGGGCTGAGGGAAAGGACAGGCGAGTACTGTTTGCACCACTGACTTTCGGTCTGGAACCGTGAAAAGGCTCTGCAGAGAGATGACAGTGACACGGCACAGCACGTAAACGCACCTCAAAAATGGTCACAACGGGGCTGGGGGGCAGCTCAGTGGTTAGCACTTGCCGAGAGTGCAAGGCCCTGGGATAGTCCCCAGCACTGCCAAAACGGACGAAGATGGCTAAAATGGTTAACCTTGGATACATATTTTACAATTTTTTTTCACTTAATTTTTTGAGACGGCGTCTCACTATGCTGCCTAGACTGATCTCAAATTCCTGAGCTCAAGCGATCCTTCCTATCCCAGCCTAAGTGCGCAACAAGAGCCACGTGCCACCACACCTGGCGATGTCACTTTTTTTTCCCAATACTTGGAGGTGAACCCTGGGCCTTCACGCTGAGCTCCACTCCCAGCCTTTTTTTAAATGTTGGGACAAGATCTCACAAGTGGCCCAGGCTAGGCTCCAAATCACAATCCTCCTGTCTCAGCCTCCCAGAGTGCTGGGATTACAGACATTGACTGTACCAGATCTACATCACAACTTTTTAAATATAGTTAGTCACATAGTAAATAACAAACATTAACTATTATCACTGCTCTTAAGAGATCTCAGGAGATGAAATTATTTATAGGTTAATTTACTAATAGATGAGAAATGTTGTGGCAAGCACAAGGTCCTGAGTTTGATTCCTGATACCAAAAAAAAAAAAAAAAGAAAGAAATGTAAAGTGGACAACAGCTTTAGCAATGATTAAAAGCAGCATTTTATAAACCAAAACTAGAAGCTAAGTGACAAGGGTCTGAATGCTTCTGTCAAAATCTAACAAATTAACAACTATTATGTGCCAGGCACTGGGGTTACATCAATAAAGATAAAAACCCTGCTGTCTGGGAACTTATAATGCATAGGAGTCAAAAACACAGATAATCGTGAAAAACTAGTTGATTCCAGCAACAATAAAAGTGCCTCTTTTCTTTTTTTTGGTACTGGGAATCGAACTCAGGACCTTGCGCTTGCCAGGCAAGCGCTTGTGCCCCTGAGCTATCTCCCCAGCCCGCCTCTTTTCATCTAACTGTACACTGGCACTGTGTTTAACAATTCGGACTTCAAAGGACTCTAACTATACTTTAGATATTCTCCTTTCTCTGCACTGTTCTCCCGTCCCCCAGTTTCTCCACTCCATCCCTCCTTCCCACTTCTCTCCTCTGTTAAAAAAAAAAGGAGCGATCCACTCAATTTCACTCTGCTGTTCTTCCATGTGGTAGAAATCATAATTAAATACAAAATTAAAAATTGAGTCACATAATATGAAACTGCCAATAATTCAGGTAGTTCTGACCTATGAAAATAGCAATTTTATATGACCCAATATTATAACAATTCCTAAGCCCATGTTTTGAAGGCCTTTAAATATAAACCTGAGAACTGCCTTCCACTCAAAACCTAACAGCCCATCTGATCCAAATCAAATCGTTCTATCTCATTTATTCAAATAGTAAGGTTTCTTTTTATTTGGAAGTGAAACTTCTTTTTTTTTTTTTAGTACCAGGAATCCAACTCACAACCTTGTGCTTTCCAGGCAGGTGCTCTGCCGCTGAGCTATATCCCCAGCCCAGAAGTGAAACTTTTAACCTAGTTTTAAAATATCTACACTGTCATTACTTAATGTGAGATGCTTAACATTTAACTCCAAGTTTCACGTGAATGCTTCAGTATACAACAGAACTTACTGCTGGGCAACAAGAAGGAATGAACTGCAGATGCCCAACCAGATCAATCTCAAAAACTTACAGAGTAGAAAAAGGCAGAGGGCACTGCAGGATCCCATTTACGTGAATTCTAGAAAAGACACATCAAATCAATGGTTAAAAAAAGGCAGGATCTTTGGCTGCCTAGCGCTAGGGCAGAAGAACTAACTGGGAAAAGGGGTACAAGGGAACTTTGCGGGCACTGGAGTGTAATGGTTACACAAGGATATCAATTTGTCAAAACCCAAGGAAATATACCAGCAAAATGAACGCTTTTTAATGTACATACATACTACATCAGTAAAGTTCATTACAAGACACAAAATGACAGTATATTTTTAATAAACAAGTGAAACATGAATATTCTTTTATTTTGAAAAAATTAACATATTATGAATAAAGTTAAAGTTTATTTTAACTACCTTCCAAATCTGGTTTCCACCCTAATCTCATATATATTTCTCCTCCACAATAAGCACCGCTAGGAGTTTGGTATGGATTATTCTGAACTTTTAAAAATAAATGTACACACATATACAGCCATAGAAAATATATAGTATTGTTTTGTACACAGATCTAACATCCTTACATAACTTGTTATTACCACTCAGTATTATGTTTCTGAGATCTACCCGTGTTACTCAGACTGAGGCTATTTCTTTTCACTCCAGCAGTCACCTACGCTATGGTCACACCGTGGTAGCCAGCCAGGCCACTCCCCTTCACACAGTTCCGAAGCCCTTCCCCCATTACAACTCACCAGGGCAGCAACAATGAGCAATTACCCTGGGGTGGGTCAGGGAAGGCAGATGGTGCTCCAAGCAGACTTCAGCCTTATCTATCAGGTTTAGTTTATCGGGTTTAATGAGACTATACCCATGTACAATTTATATATATTAAGTATCAACTTTTTTAAAAGAATATTATGATAAATTACCATGGGGAATCAATACTAAGAAACAGAATATCTATTAAAATACAAGGAAAACAAAGTTGCATAGCATAAAGCAAACTCATGATTTGAAGTGTAGGTATTTATTGAAAAATAATGAGCACTAAATACATCATACCAACACACTCTTCTGTGCAAATTACAATTAAAATACCAGAATACTGGTTATAATGATGCAAGCATAATTAATTATACATACAAACATTCCTTTATATTTTTTGCTTTCTTCTTTTATGACTATGATGTCTTTCCCCATCCCTGCAATGAAAGGGGTATAAAAAACGATTTAAAATCATGTATGTTTTAATATGAACACTTTAAAATAATTCAACAGTGCCAGACGTGGTGGCACACGCCTATATCCCAGCACTCGGGGAGGCTGAGGCAGGAGGATCGTTGCGAGTTCGAGGCCAGCCTGGGCTACAAAGTGAGCTCAAGGCCAGCCTGAATTGCATAGCGAGACCCTGTCTCAAAAAGACCAAATTAATAAATTAATTAATTAAATTAAATTAAATTAAATAATTCAACAGTGATGTACTTTCATCAGACATAAATCAGGACAAGTTAAAACATATAATTAAACTGAACTGAGAAAATCAATTATTAAAATTTAGAGAAAAACCGAAATGGAAGCAAAACTAAGTTATACTTTGGAATTCTGCTTTAAAATTAACTCCAAATGCATATAAAATGATAGGCAGCCAGGGAATTCAAGTAGAGTATTAACGTCATGGAGAAGGTATGAGCTCAGTGGGGCAGCACGACGCTGAGTGATGACTCACCTCTCTTTCCTCCTTCTCGACTCAGAGGTTTTATCCTTATCTTTATTTCTTTTCCGCTTATGTGGGCTCCTGCTCCTATCCCTCCTATGGCGTGAACTCTCCGCGTCCAGATAGCTCCCACCAGACTGCCGGGAATCTACCGAAGCCGAGCGCCTGTCTTCATTCCTGAGACCCAGAGAGGAAGTGAGCCAGTTCGTCCTCCACTGGCCTCCACTAAGACCCCGCAGCCAGGGACAGAGAGGGCCCACACTGACAGGAATAACCTTATACTCCCCATGAGAAGGCAGCCAGACAGCAGCTTCTACAGTGTTTTCTTTTTGAAGTATTTCAGTAGTATGGTTGTTTCCCCCACCTCTCTACTGCTAAGACTGATGACATCGTAGAATAATTCTAGTGAAATTCTGAGCATTGATGACAACAAACAATAATTTTGATGAATTATAGTTTGCTACAAAAGGTCTTAAAAATGCTAAAATTAAGCCAGGTACGGTGGCACACGCCTGTAGTCCCAGCACTTGGGAGGCTGAGCCAGGAGGACTGCTGTGAGCATAAGCCCAACCTAGGCAACACAGTGAGTTCAAGGCCAATCAGAACTACATAGGGAGACCCTGTCTCAAAAAAAAAGAAAGAAAAGCTAAAATTTAACACTTATAACAGATTAAAAAGGTAGTATTTTGGGAGAGGGATGCAGTTCAGTCACGGAGCGTTTGCTCGTCTTGCACAAGACCCTGGGTTTGATTCCCAGCACTACTAAAAATTAAATAAAGGCAACCATTTTACCAGTACAGACAGTGACATACTTCTCAGCGCCCCCCTCTGCTTTGTCCTGCTCTTCTTGCCAGTGGTTACTGAGTTCTTCCATGTGCACATTTATTACATCCCGAATCACCTTGGGAGAAATAAGCACCAAATCTCAGATAGGAGAGTGGTTCAAACAATTAAGAAAAGCACCGCTAACAGTCAACCAAGAATTCACTGACAGCCGGTCAGTCCCGGTGACAGAGGAAGCAAAAAGGCACTGGGGACAAGGGCAGTCTCAGAGTTCTGTCTGCTGCATTTTCCCTCCTCAGAGAAACTCCCAGCAGCTCCCAAAGTGAAATGGAAAAATGTCTTATACTCCTCAATAAAACCCAATACCCTCCACGACCTCACCATATCACAGAGCATAGTGGGTGTAAGGAAAAACGCTCAGCACCTTTAGCCATTCAGGAAATAAAAATCAAAGCTACAATGAGATCCCATCTCACATCAGTCAAAATGGCTAGCGTAAAGAACACAAAGAACAATAAATGTTGGTGAGGACGAGGGGGAAAAGGAACCCTTCTACACCAGGAAGGAACAGTGTAGCCACGATGAATTAAAACTGGAGCTACTGTTCTGGTTTATATCTGGACGTGGCCCCAAAGCCCATGTGTGCACAGGCAGGCTTTGGGGAGGTGACCGGGTCATGGGTACACGGTCCTCATCGGTGGATTAGGGCACTGTGAGTGTATAGCTAAAGCAACGTTGCGGGGTGAAGCCTGGGTGGAGGAGTGGCTCACTGGATACATGGCCCAGAAGGTCTGTCCCCTCCCTCCTCCCCCATCTACCACGCTGCCCTGCCTTGGAGCCAGCTGACTACAGACTGACACCTCTCTGAACTGTGAGCCATCTGATCGATCCAGCTACACCACTCCTTGGTACAAAGCGGAAGCAATGAAAGTCAGCACACTATAGGGACACCTGCAAACCCAAGTCTACGGCAGCAAGTTCACAACTGCCAAGATATGGAGCCAGGGGGCTGGGGATTTAGCTCAGCGGCAAAAGCGCCTGCCGGGCAAGCGCAAGGTCGTGAGTTCGGTTCCCGGTACCGGAGAAAAACCAAAAAAAAAAAAAAACGAAAGATTTCTGCCCAAAGAAGGTAATAGCTAGTATTTACTGAGAAATGTCTGTGTTCTCATGCATTATTTCAGTAAGTTCTCATAATAACCCTGTGAAGTTTGCATGATTACAAAATGAAAAAAAATCTAAAAAGCTTAACCTGACCATGTCACACAACCAACAATATAAACAGCAGAATCAAAACTCAAGCTAAGACCTGAGGGAAACCAAAATGCACACTATCATGCTGCAGTACTACTTTCTTGTGAGCAGGTATTTTTAAAGAGTATACAACTTCTTTATATAAGGTTTTTGTACAGTGAAGAGCCTGTCTGGCAGAGGGTGGGTCGGAATCAGATGGGGCAAACCCTGGTCAGGAGCAGCCCTCTGGACACTTCCTCGTGCACCTTCCCAGGAGCTGAGGAAATCCACAGAACAGACTTAGGAAACCATCTATGGAGAATTTTTGTTCCCGACAAAGTTCCACACAATTATGTAAAACCTACCTCAGTATAAGATTTCTTGGTTATATGAACGTTCTTAGCTCTATAGGACTGACGTCTTCTTTTATAATCTCTAACTTCTGCCAGGATTTCAAGATAAGACTTTGGACTTTTCCGACTATTATCTAATGAAAGAGTAAAACAAATTATTATATCTTGAAGGGTTTTTAATTTCTTTAGAATCCACAGGTAGTCCGGCACAGTGGTGCACACCTGTAATCTTAGATCTTAGGAGGCTAATGCAGGAGGATCACTGTGAGTTCAAGGCCAGCCTGAAGTATATAGTGAGACCCTGCCTCAAAATACCAAAACTGAAGGAAAAAAATTAACAGGTAGAAACCCACAACTGTCCTATGCTGCAACACGTTTCAAGGTAGTATACAAGGACACCCTAGAAACCCTGCCTTCCTTCTATCTGGGCTGTTTTATATTTTTTCCTCTAGCCATTAGTTGAATGTAAGAATATTTCAGTCCATAGATAAAAGTAGCAGCACAATTGTAAATAACTGTTTTACAAAAGAAAGATGCTTAATGTAAAATTCACAGTAAAACTTCAAGTACTGGGTAACTTAATAATCTACATATCCATGTCAGATGATAGAAAACCACCCCACCCAATCCAAAAGGGCATGATAATAAAGTCATTTGAACTCTCATAGAATGGAACGACAAGAAGAAACGTAAAGTATGTTATTTCTCTCAAACCTTGATTGACTTTGGCAGCCAAGTCTACAAAGAGATCACTGTCGTTTTCAATGATTTGTGAATCAGAGCGCTTTTTCTTTGTCTCCTCAACAACAAAATCATAAAGGGCAAGACGATCTGCTTGGGTCAGATCACAAACAAAGCGTTTGTGATTCAGAGGAACTTCAACAGGCAATGAAGAATACACTCCTAAAGTAAAAGAAAAGAAAACATCACAAGAATAAACAATACACGAAGCACTGCAGACTTAATACCGACAACTTAACTTCAAATACATGCTGTCCTAAGGCAATATTAACACACATTATGTTTTACATACACAGTAATCCTGAAACACATAAAGTATCAATATATGTAATGTGATAAATGTTAAACAACGACTATCCTGAATGCTGCTTTGCACAGAAAGGATATATCTTGGATCTTTATTATTCTTTCCAACGATGTTAAGACATATCTCAGGAAGGGAGGCAAAAATAATCCCAAAAAGCAACTTGCAGAGAAGAAAATCTTTCTTTTGGTAGAAGTGGGTTGAGACAGGGTCTTGACAGTATAGTCTAGACTGGCTTTGAACTTGTACACCTCCTGCCTCAGCCTCCTGATATGATTACAGACATGCACTACCACACCGGACAAGCTTTTCTTTTTCTTTCCTTCCTTTTGTGTGCTTGTGTGCATACATGCGTGTGTGTGTGTGCATGCATGTGTGTGTTGAGTTCTTGCTACACTGCCAAGACTGACTCTGGAGATCAAGGGATCCTCGTGATTCAGCTTCCCAGGTGACTAGGACTAGAGGTGTATACTATCACACCCAGCTAAGAAAAACTTTTGAGTAATAATTTTTTAAAGATGCCCACATTACAAATACAGATACTACTTTGTAGATACTACTTTTTGTATACATGCTTCTGCCATAAAAGCTGGAAAAAAGTTTTTGCTATGTAGTGCACACTGTAGTTCCTTCAAAAATAATGAGAATATGAAAAATGATTAAAAAACAACTTGTTTGAGCTATCAAGTTAGAAGTTCAATATTTGAAACACGTTCTACTTGCGCAATGACGTATAGTTAGGGGTTAAAAACACAATTAAGCCAGGCATGGTGGTGTACACCTCTAATCCCAGCACTGGGGAGGCTGAGGCAGAAGGATCGCTGTGAATTCAAGGCCTGGGCTACTTAGTGAGTTCAAGGCCAGCCTGAACTGCACAGTCAGACTCCGTCCCAAAAAGACAAAAAAAAAAATATATATTAAGTAGAAATCCCAAAGTTCCTCAGACCAGAGAAGGCCAGATTAAACTGAACTCATTTTAACTTACTAAGGAGAAAGTAGAGTGGCTTAACCAAACTAATTAAAAACAGGTAACAGCCGCGCCCCAATAGTTACAGAACTTTCTAAAGTCTGCTCATTAATGAGAAAAAGTAAATACAATACCTTGATATGATGTATTAAAACACTGAAGAAAATGTTTGTTTTGAGATTCAAATGTACTCAAAGAAATAAAATGACTGTGACTGTAAATAAAGCAATTTAATACAATTCTTTCTAAACTTCATTATTCACTAATGCAAATAAAGAACATGATCTACTAAAGGAATCCCTCTAATGTTTGCTAGGTTATCCTAAAGCAGTAATTCCGTTCAAAGAACAATGTAAAAGCAGTAGCTCTTCCCAGACACTTAAAAGTCTTACTATGTTAACTTCTTAGATAAGAGGCAAAAGAATTCAAATAAACACAAAATATGAACTAAGCATTTTTAACAAAAGAAAGAGGAGAAAAAAAAGAAAGGGAAAGGGGGGGGAAGGGGAGGAGAAGAGGAGAGAGAGGGAGAGAGGGAGAAACAGAGAGAGACACAGCGAGAGAGTGCTTTATATTTCCCCATAAATTAAGAGGAGAGCTACACTGAATCAAAGGCTGTGGCTTAACAGCTATGTGTAATGACACACGGTCATTTTCACTAGTCAAAGGGTTTAAATTAGTTAGGAAGAAGAGTTCCCTTTCAAGCTAATCAATTTTACCCTAATGCTGGCAGGCCCTAGGAAAGGCCTTTCTATGAAACCAGGTGTCAAAACATTTTATACTATAAAATTAGCTTTCACATGCCTAATTTCTTTGAATACAGGCTATAAAAACCTGGGAGAAAATACAAAGGTTAGAAAACAATGCTACATTACAAACAAGCTCCTCATAAACTTTTGCCTGTTAATCTTTAAACAATGAAATGTAATTTCCTCAAAATATTTTGGAGTTTTCTTGATTTATTCATCTTAAATTGGTGTTATCATAAAGACTGATGTTTAAACTTCTGGAAATTCAACCAAAATTTCAAATGAAGCCTATAATGTTGTGACAGGTAGTAAGATAAAAGTTGAGAAGTTTCAGTAATACTTTTAAAAGGATATCATTTGCAAAAAGGATACTGCATATCTTTAAATAAGGAGTACATTCAGGTTCCTAATTCCTCTTTATACTCACCCCAATTACTGAAAAAGAAAAAGTACAGGAAAAGTTAAGTAAAAAACTGCATTCAAATCTTTCAGAACATAATTCTGACAAAAGAAAAAAAAAATACATTTAAGTAAGCTACATTTACATAAAATGTAAATTTTCAAAATGCAAGTTTCTATATGATGTATTGCCACATTTGTTGTAATTCTGTGTCCCTCTCCTTTTCCAGCTTTTTAAAAAAATTGTGGTAAAACAGAAAATAACATAAAAATCACTCTTTTGGTCATTCCTAAGCAAACAGTTCAGAGGTACTATGCATATTCCCATTGCTATGCAACCTTCAACTTCATAGGAAGACTGTCTCCTCACCCCAAAGGAAGCCCTAGTCGGTGTTTGTATTAAGTAACTCCTCTTTTTTTCTTTTTCCTTTTTGAGACAGGGTCTCGCTATGCAGTTCAGGCTGCCCTTGAGCTCACTTTGTAGCCCAGGCTGGTCTCAAACTTGCAAAGATCCTCCTGCCTCAGCCTCCCCAGTGCTGGGATTACAGACATGCGCCACCATGCCCGGCTGTAATAAGTAACTCTTACACTCCTATTTCAGTCACTTTTGCCATCAAAGGGCATCTTAAACACAAATTACTATATTAAATATTGGTAAAAGCTACTGTCTCAAAGTTACAAATTCAGAATTTGACAAATTCATACAGCAATAATCCCTAATATTAACGATAAACAGATTAAGGTCCAGAGAAGTAAAATGAGTTTTGCCAAGTCTCACAAGTAGTGAAAAGAGATCTGGTCTACGCCATGCTAGCCTCTCTTATTTTACGCCCACTGAATTTTTAAATCATGGCCATGTTTTAAATGTACTTCATGAAATTTAAGAATAGCAACTTGAATATTTAACATTGGAGGAAAATGATAAACCAGTAAACATAAAATTGTTTATTACTGAAATCAGTGTCTTAGTATAAAATTAACTAATGTAAATATACCTGAAAGGAACAACACAGATCTAACAGCTGTTCAAGTTTGCAGAAAGAATTTTATGAAGTGAGTTTAGGCCTGACACAACTGATTAAATGAAAACACATACAGCCTCACCAAAACAATTTACGTCTTCCTGTATATCCAGGAAAATATTACTTAGATGGGGAAATGCAAAGTTTTCCACATTAGTCCTCCCTTCAAAGTAATGTAATAATTTTTTTACTCAAAGTTAAAGATATTTAAAGAGATTCTTGCCCTGATGCCAAAGGTCTAAAACTATCTGACTGAAGTGGGCCACAAAAATAATCTTTGTTGGGAAATTGCAGAATTGTACACAGGATACAAAAAAGTTCTTTTAAAAAGGGTTATAGTTATTCTGTTAATAACAACGGAATCTTAACTTAGGAGAGTGTAAGAGTCCAAAATCAAAGTTCCTCTTGACTATCTACTGAAAGAACTATTCAAAGTAATTTTTTCTTTTATAAAGAACTAAATTCAATGCCTAAATTCGCCTTCTTACTCAGTTATACAAATTTATAAACTTGGAACACTGCCTAAATTACCTACATATACAAAACTCTAGCAGTTCACTGTATTAATATTGCTTTCTGTACATTTATTTTCACCTAAGAGCAGCTGCCAATTATTGTTGCGAGGGCTAGCTTAGCAATTATCATCTCTCCTCCTCTAAACAAAACTAAAAGAAAATCTGTATTACAGATAGAAAAACTCAAAGAAGTTGTCATTTATACAAGGTTAAGCAGTTAGCTTATTTCTTTAGAACAGGCTTTGCAAAATGAATGAATAGTGAATTGCACTGACAGGAGTGTGTACGTATCTAAAGTCTGTACTATTCTTTCACTTAATCATGATAGAAAAACAATGAACACATTTTGGCGGTACCCAGTCTATGAATTTCACTAAACGTCGGGCTTCTATCCCAAGCTAGCACAACTCAGACAAGAATCCGTGCTAAGATTCAAAATTTGGTTCTGGGTCCAGCTTTGCTATCACTATCTGGCAGAGATGAGTTACTTCCCTTTTGTGAGTCTGTTTCTTCACCTCACATAAGAAGGAAATACTGTCCTAACCTATCATAATTTTATGGTGAAAGAGAAATGAAATTCATAGAAGAGCTACGAAAAAAGAACCTTTTCAAAAATAAAAGTACTGAAGACTTTTAGAACAAACATACCCGAGCTGCATCTTAGTCATACAGAGTTGCTTTTCCTCTGTAAAATGCACACTCTGGGTAGATGATCTCCAAGAGCTCTTCCAACTCTTGGATAAGCTCCATTAACGTGTCTAATCAGCTCAAAGTCGAGCTGGAATTAAGCTGACAGGCACAAAGGTGGAGGCTTCAAAACAAGAGCTCCAGGAAAGATGCTTCAGGCCGCTGGCGGGAAGGAAGGTAACAAACACAGGCAAAGAGCAGCGGGCGGCCTTCTGAAGCCACACGCAGCTCAGAGAAACTGAGACCAGATACTGGCTGAGAACAATGTTTGGTAAAGATCCTGAACTTCAGGAAGGGGGAAAAACCAACCCTGACTATGCCCTGGCGAGGAGCAGGACAAAAAGGCGGCAAGCCCAGACAAAGCTACCCACAGAAGGTTCCAACACAGCTCAGAAATCCTTGTAAGAGGAACCAGTCATGCTTTGGCTGGATGTCAAATCTGGGTCCGGAAATCTGAACATTTTTGTTAACTGTTCACTTCTACCGTGATAGACTTCATTTTCTTTCAATCTCCTAAAAGCTTATGCTTCAATTTTTAGCCTAATGTCTGTTGAAGTCCTGGGCATAAACTGTTGAACCCAGCTCTAACACTGGGCACAAACAAATCCACAGATCCTCTAAGATGACGCATACGACATTATGCTGGGGCTTGCTTTCTGAGCAGGCGACCCTTAGAACTCCTCATCAAGCTTCCTTACTAGGTAATTCCAAAGCATGCACCACTACTTAACAGTGTCTGAGGAAGACCGGTGACACATAACAAATGATGGGAAAAAAAGGAAATTAGCCCAGTGTTAAATGTAAAGCTTAACCTTTCCCATGTAACTCTTTTCACACATTTTTTCGTGAAGAAAAAATTTAGTACCATGTCCCTGGGGGAGAAAAATTATTTGACTCATTAATTAGCTCAAACTATAACGGCTCTTACTTTGATTGTAGCAATCACCATCTTTTCCAGCTTTGGTTCTAGCTTGATTAATGATCTGGAATTGTAAGTCCTTATCTGTCAAAAAAAATTAAATATGTTAGGACTCATCAAGTTTCGTCAGTTTCCAATGCAAGCTCTCCAGACACAGCAACTAACCTTCCAGAATCTGAGGAGACCAACATCTACGTCACTGCCTACACAATGTGAGCACAGAACTCATTCACATCTACCTAGAGCCCAAGGAGTGACAAGACTTAAAGTACTTCAGAAAACACTATATTCAGGGCTAGGGGGCTGGCTCACTGGTCAAGTGCTTCCCTAACATGGGTTCAATCTCCAGTACCAAGAAAAAAAAAAAAAAAACAAGAAGCATCACACTATAATCAGGCACGCAGGAGCAGCAGCTACAAACTTACTAATCTCTTAACATTTCTTCAACTCCAGCTAAGCATCAGGTACTATTCTATGTATATTACAAACATAATTTAATCCTCACAATATTCTATTATCATTATTCCCAACTTATTTTTTTTTCTAACTTATTAAAAAAAAAAAACTTTAAACAAGTTACCTCGCTGAAAGTCACACGTTTGTTAGGAACAAAACTAGTAAGTGAATCAGGGCATTCTGCTTTTAGAACCCAAGACTTTAACCTCTACACGTGCCGTAAGTATCTGGAACACATTTCCAGCCTCACTTTCATTTTCAGTCTATGCTGTGTGCTCAGATTTTGCAATAACCAAGGAGGAAGGCATCTGTTTCCCAGGGTTTTCACTCCCTATTATATAAGCTTGATCTTTAAATTTCAGATTACATGAACTAGTTTCACAGTACATTAATAAATCCTATACTTTCTTAAGGCACTAAATATCCTTCCTAGTCAAAAGCATGTTTATAAAATCCATTCTTCTGGTAATTCAAAAATGAAAATTTAACACCCACACTAAAATATTTTAAAATTACAATCTAACAACTTAATACTTACCCAAAGTAATTGAAGGTACCTTCGCATTCTCGTAGAAAAAATCAGGATTATATATTTCATCCTAAACAATTAAAAAAACATTGTTCCTAATTATGTTAAGATTTGACATAAACTAACAAGTAGTATCTTTAAATTTTTCCCATAATAATTTGTGACATTAGGCAAGTGCCATCTTACCCTACAAATAAAAGTTATTATTTTGTATCAGAAAACCTCACGATACATCTTCAAAATATTGTGAATTCATTAATGCATGAATTATATGACATATATGTAATGCAGTAAATATATGCTACCTCTTCTTCTTTAGTATAGCCCATTTTTCTCAATCTACAGGATTCCATGTGCTTTGATAAAGATGATTTAGGCATGTGATGATTGGAATCATAAGGACATATCACAACTTCACCCTATAAAAAATAAAGAGGAAAAAAAAGGTACACAATAGTTTAAAAATAATTATAGCACTGAATGTTTACTATGTGAATAAATGGTACTCTCCACCACTTCCTCTTCTGCAGGCCTCTCTCAACTCCCATACAAATGTGTTTGCATTAAAACAAAACAAACCTCCCTTAAACCTCTACCCAAGCTGCATTCTCTCCACCTCTTCAAAGCCTCTTTTTTTTTTTTTTTTTTTTTCTTTTTGAGACAGGGTCTTGCTATGCAGTTCAGGCTGGCCTTGAGCTCACTTTGTAGCCCAGACTGGTCTCGAACTCACAACAATCCTCCTGCCTCAGCCTCCCGAGTGCTGGGATTACAGGCATGTGCCACCACGCCCGACTCCATCTTCTTGCTAGTAGAGTCAAAGAACATGTCATAATCCTTACAGGACTGAAGCTCTTGGAAGGCCATCAGTCACCTGTCCCTTTCTGCCATCCTGACCCACTTTTCAGGTTCTTTCTACCTTGTTGGCTCTTTCTACTTGGTCTCTTGGTCTCTTCTACTTGGTGCCTCAGAGACTTTCCTCCTTCATATGCTGGTGTTTCCTGTGAGTCTAACTAGCAACCAATTCAGTATGAACAAAAAATAAATGCATCGCAATTTATTTTTAAATAAATAATCCCCAAACTTGGTCCTCTTGTGTGTTCCTATTTTGATGAAAAGGTTCCAACCGCTCCTCGAGCAAGAAACTGCCTCTTGTCCCTCATCACCCGCATGCAATAAATCACCTACCCCCGTCCGTTTCACTCCTAACTATATCTGAACTCCTGCACACACGGGCTATCACCACTGCTGCTTCCCCAGTTTGGACATCGTCTTGTCCCCGCTGAGTTCCAGCAGCCACCTCGAAGCGCTGTCTCTCTCTGCTTCGAGTCTTGCCATCCTCCACTGCACCCTCCACACCGCAGCTAGGTGGAATCCCCAGCTTTGCCACTTACAGGCCGTAGGAAACTGGGCTGGGTACTTAACCACTCTTTGCCTCAGCTTCTTCATCTGGAAGTGGAAATACTCACAAGGCCATTACAGAGACTAACGTAAAGCAATCTGAGTAAGGCCTGGAATATAGAAAGTGTTCAATAAATGTAAGCAGATACTATTTTTATTAAAAAGCAAGTATGACTTTGATATGCCCTGGCTTAAATTTATTACTATGCCTCCTCAATGACCTTATTTTTAAAAAAATCTAGATTGTTTAATCTGGGGACAAAGGCATCACCGAACAAACTATACAAGGACAGAAAAAGTGACTATAGTTCACTAAACTTCAGTATCAAAACATCAAAGAAAATGAAGCTTCATTAACTACTCGGACTGCCATCTATTCTATGAATTATACCTCTTACCAGGATTTCTAATCACTCTCCTGAACATCGGATACAAGGTTTGCAAACGTTAGATGTATTCCCACCACTTACTGTCAAAATTTGGGAATTTCACAAGGAGCTTTTAAAAAGCAACACAGCAATTAAGCACACACTCTTAGGAGCAAGAAAGCTCGAATGCAAATCCTACCTGCCACTTGGTAACAGTGTAGTAGCGCACTAGTTACCTCTCTCTTCTGCTTTCTCATCTATAAAATGCTGCAAACAGTACTCACCTCATAGGATTATTAAGTAGGGCAATGTATACTAAATGGCATACACAAAATGCTACTTAACTGTTAATACAAAAAATCCAATTCTCCTGCAATGCTGTACTGAACGAACTATGGTATGGAAAGTTCTGTTAAGCCCCACCGAATGGCTAGAAATGCCCCTCTAAATGAACAATGAAGTCCTTTTCGTTTTGTTTTGCAATTTCCACTGCGGTTTCAACACAAGAAATAGTGAATGAAATATTTAAACGCCTCTGTGGAAATCAGACCTGTGACTTAAAGCCGGGAGAGATTACAGCATAGTACACCCAGGAAGAACACAGGAAATTACCCTACCATCGAGCGCTCCTCTTCCTCCTACCCCACCAAAAAGGCAAAGAAAACAAAAATCCGGGTTGTTCCATCTAATACACTTGCTTACATTTTTTTAAAGTAATTCTACCGTTCAGTGAGTTGCTAGTTACCCTTTCTTAGCGGCATCTTTTAATAATCCTAGAATCTATATTGTCTCAACCACAAGTGTCTGTTTTTAGGATAGAAAAAAGAGAACTGGTGAACTCCCAGGTCTCCAGACCCCGAAATCTGGCGCAACTGCGGAATCCTTAGGACAGATGACAAAGCAAACGGCCAACCCTGAGAGCAGCACTTGGCTCCTACTCGTTTATTCTTTAAATAAACACCGACGTGCCAGTCCTTCCTCACCCACATCATCCTATTTTCCTGACACCCCAAGTTAGGGCCACACGGCGGGGGAGGGCATGGGGCGTCCCAGCCCCACACTCCGGGCCACCGCGGTTCCCGGCCGCCCTCAGGGCTCCGAGGACTCGGGCTCCGCGCCTGCCCTCCGCGGCACCCCGCGCGGACCTCCCCGCCGCCGGCCCGCTGCCCCGGAAGGACCGCAGCCCCGGAAGGTCCGCAGCCCTCACCTCCGCCGCCTCCTCCTCCCCGGGATCCAGCTGATCCAGGCTCCAGCCCAGGGACGCCGTCACCTCCCCCAGCGTCTGGTAACAGCTCTCCACGAACTCGCTCAGCTCCTCCTGCAGCCGCCGCCGCTCCTCCAGCGGAGGAGCTTCGTCCTCCATGGCCGATGCCTACCTGCAAACAGGAAGTGACTGATCGGTGCGCGGCGCGCGCGGGCCTCTGGGAGGTGTGGGCGGGGTCTTGTCACCACGTGACTGGAGCAGCCTATAGGGGAGGAGCCGGGGGAAGGCGGGAGCTGTCATTTTCAAAGGCGTTTTTCAATCCCTTCCGAACGTCGCTTCCGTGTTGCTGCTCCTGGGTGCGTTTGCCTCGTCTTCCCTGAATGGGGTTCCCCCTCTTCGTAGACATTTTTAGAAAAAATTGTTTCTATCGGTAGAAATGTTTAAATAGTTCAAAGAGCGTTTGTGTCGCTGTCTAGTTCATCAACATTTTGCCACATCTGATATTTCTGGATCTCTTCTGTCCCCATAGCCCTGCATTTATTTTTTCTCAATTCTTTGCAAGTAAGTTGCAGATTATTTGCCCCAGAATATATCCTCAGAACATTTTCCTGTGTAACTGTAGTGCATGATCAAACGTAAGAAAATTAATTCCATTAAATCTAATATATGGTTCCAATTCCCTGCAGTTGTCCCCATCCTTTTATGTTTTATTATTTTAACCCATAAAATTATCAGTTGTCTCTTTTAATCTAGAACAATGTCACCTACTCTCCATTTTAAATTGTTATTGAATTTTGTGATGGGTTTCGGCCAGTTGTCTTGTAAAATATCCTTCATTCTAGGTCCCCTCACAACTACGATTAGTTTAAACGATTTTTCAAGAATACTACATAGGATACGTGTACCTTTTTATTACATGCTAAAGAGAAAATATATCTTAGTAATGCTAAATTTGATCACTTGGTAAGGCTGGTGGCCAAATCTCTCCATTGTAATATCTTTCTTTTAATACTTGGTAATCTATGGCCATACCTTGACATATCTTGAAGCCATAAGAATATCATGATCCCAACTACCTCCAAATCCTTCACTGAATCATTTATTACAACTTATAAATGTGATTCCCTTAAAGTATTATGCATTCTCCATTTATTAGCTAGCATTCTTTCCACACATCCATTTTGTTATTTCACCGTGGAATCAAGAGGTTCAAAAACTAAGGTTTTTAAACGCTCCGTTATCATCATCATTCTTGTTAAAACTTATGTTGTCTTCAATTTGGCCAGTAGAAGCTACATTAAGCCACTCCCTGGGTGTCTCTGACATATCCCCATTCGTCTTTCATTGATTTGCTTCACCCACCTTTCCCTCTCAAAACCTGGAACAGCTCTTTAAAGTTTTTCCAAGTGGAACTCTCAGGATCTACTCCTTTATGTATTTTTATTTTTTCAAATCAAATCTGTGCTTCCTTTTGCACTTTACTTACCCCTGATGACAGAAGGGTGGAGGTCATTATCATGAACAACTATTCCCAAAGGCAAATAGCCTAGTTCTGACCTTTGAAACACATTGTATGCCCCATGTGGTGGCACGTGCCTGTAATCCCAGCACTCAGGAGGGTGAGACAGGAGGATCGTTGGGAGTTCGAGACCAGCCTGGGCTACAAAGTGAGCTCAAGGCCAGCCTGAACTGCATAGTGAGACCCTGTCTCCAAAAAAACCAAAAAAAAAAAGAAAGAAAGAAACACATTGTAGATAGGCAGTACCATAAAATACAGAAGTGGGCCCACAGCTTCGGGACAAGGGATGCATCCCACAGTGATTTGTTTTATACTCTACCCACAGTATCTTCACTCTTTATTGGCATTTCCCTAGTTAACCATGTCATCTAGAAAATATGAAACCAATTTTGGATACCTCTGATGACTCTCATTGAATGCTACGTGTGCACACACACACACCCACCTCCAGATGCACTGTGTGTGTGAAACAAATCAAAAACTCAACCCAGGTCAAGCATGTCCTCTCCAGGACACAGCCCCATGTTATCTCAGAGCTTAGGAACAACTTTCAAAGCAACTTGGAGGTCGGGGTAGGAAAAATCTGTAGTCCTTTCTAGTTCCTTTTTTAACCTGGGGGACTGCTATACATTGGTGTTATTGATCTAATTATCACTTTTCTGGAGAGGTCTCTAGTCACCTGCTCTATGTTAGATCCTTGTTATAGACTGACTTGGGACTTTCCAAAGTTCCTGGGCTGAAACCCTGACCCACAATGTGAATGCATTTTGAGATGGACGTTTAAGGAGGTCAGTGCTGTAACTGAGATCATAAGGGTAAAACAGGGTTCCCTACCAGAGACCAGAGCTATCCGTCTCCTCTCTACTTAGGCACAGAGAAAGTCCTGTGAACACACGTTAAAAAGGTGGTCACACACAGACCTTGAGGACTGGTCTCATCAAAAGTCAACCCTAACAGCACCTTTTCTTTGGACTGCCAGGCTCCACAACTGTAAGAAAATATTTTTCTTTAAGCCCTGCAGTTTGTAGAATCTTGCTATGGCACCTGAAGTGACTAAATCTTCCATCTCTAGCATAGGAATTCTATTACCCCTGCTTCCCACCAACGGCATTTATCTCTCTTCTTCCTTCTAGATTACACAAGCTATTTTTGTACCATGTATTTCTATCAGGGAATCCATGACTCTGGCACAAGGGATGGCACACAGAACTCAATTACTTAATGAAATTAATTTTGGGTCATAAAACCTGTGTGATGCAGCAAAAGGGAAGAAAGAGGTGAGATGAGGCATGCGTATTGTGAGGAAAGTGGCCCATTCGAGTCCCCAGTAACTCTGGTATCTGATCATATTTTTTGTTCTGTGTTCACCATTTCACTTGCCTTCTAACTTCTACCTGTATTATAAGATTTAATTCTATTTATACTGCAGATAAATGAAAATTGTCCCACTGGTTGCTATCTGTCTCCTATCCCCACCCAGACTGCAAATATCTTGCAGTTAGAAAGCTAGTAAATTCTACTGAATCTTTGCAATAACTACCCAATACCTGTCATAACAGGTATCCCATAAAGTCATGTTAATTTAATGACTGAATTTCAGTGGGTTCTTTATGACCCAAAGGAACAAGCTTATATTCCATTATCCTTCATCCCAGAAACTAGAACTCTTCAAGGACTGTGTTCATAGATCCAAAAATAATTCTTTCTTCTTAGGGGGCAAAACACTACCTATTTTGAGGATATCAAAAAAGAGAAAAGAAAAATCTTAGCCTCTTCATGATTTTTCAGTGTTATGATAGTGACATTGCCAGCGCTTCTGGTGCAGTCCAGAATCAGCCAGAGCAGAGTTTTGACCTCTGGAATGGCCTATTTCCATGGGTGTCTTTCTAAGGACTCCATCTGGTATGCACCATGTGAAGAAGTATTGAAAGAACTACCTTTCCAAGACCATCACCTACCAAGAGTTACAAGCCAGAACAGTATTTTAATGGCTTTTTTCTTGTATTGGGATATTTAGTAAACAAAGGATAAAGATGCATGATAAAGAATAAGCTGCTATTAAATATATGTACAAACATATTAAAACACAAAAATTTCCAAAGTCTAAAAGTTTATTGTCAGAACGGCAAACTTCATAAAGACACCTTTTTAAAGTACATAGAAAATGACAAGCAAAATAAACAGAAAACTTTGACCAAAGAAAAGCAAAGATTACTGCTATTGTGCACATATAGCCATTTTTTTTTAATGCTAAACCAAACAAATGCATTAAAGAATATATGGGTTATACAATCCATGCTTTTTCACCTAAGGGAAACACATTCCAAAATACTTGGGTTTGGGGCAGGGTTTTTTGGCAGGTGTATGGATAATCTTCTCCTAATGCAGAAAGTGGAAATATTTAGATGAAAAAGAGAATGATGATGGAACTATCAGATTAACTTAATTTTTATCTCCAAGAACAGAAATCTGTCTTACTGCCCCCCCCAAAAGCTCAAGAAGTGATCAATCTAAACACAAAAAGCCAATTCTAAATTCAATTTGTGCCATCCTTACAAGTGATTACCACTTCACACAACTACATCAAAGAGGACTGCATTAGTTAAGATGAGCTAAAAAGATAAAAAGCCAGAAAAACCTTTACTATTCTATTCCAACCAAGGCTGTTTTAAGCACAGAAGGTTCTATTCACTATCCTACAAGCACCAGGTTTTCTTTTTGCTGTTATTTCATAAACTAGAAATCATATAAATGAATCCAAGGTATAGCAATCATTTCCAGCTGTCAACTAGTGGCCAATGGAGCTACTGCTGAAGGAGTAGGAGTAAGAGTAGGAAGAATTTCCCGTGGCATCAAAGCTTCCTCTCCGGGACCCGCTGCGGGAACCAGAGCGGGAACCAGAGCGGGAGCCCGAACGGGAGCCCGAGCGGGAGCCCGGAGCCGAGGACATGTTGTAAGGGCTAGGTAAGCCCTTGGAAGACACTGAGGCGGCTTCCAGGAGGCGTAGCCCGGTGATATCCTCCACCATGGAGCGATTCACAGCATCCTTGTAGGATATCTTTAATTTGGTCTTGGGGCAGGTCAGGATTTTGGCATAGCTGCTGGTGTCTTGCAGCCTCTGAGCTCCTCGGCCATCGATGAAGCCCTTTCTGATGGCTTCTTCTGTGCTTATCCTCCCATGCACTTCTGGGTCAACAAGACCACCAGTGAGGAACTGGAACTCCAGGAAGCGCTGGCCTGCCTCATACGGGAGCCACTTTTCTTTCACTGCTTCTGCTGCCGACATCTTTTTCTTTCCTTTCACACCTTCGAAGCCAACGAAGGCCTTCTGAGCAGGCTTCAGCCTGGTGGCCATGTCTTGGTCAATGAGACCCTGGGCTACCGCGTCCTGAAGCAACAGCCTCTGCCCAGTGGTGGGGTGGATGATGCCGCCTGTGCAGGCCTGAGCCTCCAGAAGCCTCTGCCCGGTGATGCTATCGACAATGCCCCGATCTATAGCTTCTGTGATGGAGATTTTCTCTAGGTTTTCGGTATCAAAGATGGCTGCGATAGGGCTCAATTCTTCCAGGGGGTCAGACAGGGAACTGCTCCTGATGGTTAAATTCCTGATGCTGGATATGGTGGAAATCTTACTTACTGATTCGTGTCGAGAACTGCTAAAAACATCATCGCTGACGCTACCGCCCA